TTTGGTACATAACCCTTACTGCTGTTGACGACGTTAGTCATCTTTTACATACGAAGCCATTACCATCGACAACGAGCTACGTTTGATTGAACAGCTGCTAGTAGATCATAAACGGATTAGAAGCTCTTGTTTGCTGATTTTCAAAGAATCTGTAAGCTGAGCCTCTACGATTCGAAACTGAACTCACTACTAAAGAAAGAGTAAAACGAAGCGCTTTTATGATGAGGCATCAAAAAAAGCCCACGACAGCCAAAAGAAAGAATTCGAAGTGAACAACTTTAATGTTGGTTAAAATAATCTGATTTAACGGTTGATTCAAAATTAGAGACAAGCATGATGGCTGGCGATATGTTTTCATTTATCTGGTAGGATATCGATAATTTTTTTATTTAAGATAATTTAATTATAGATATTTTTCTAGCTTGTACGGTTATATATAGAGAGATGTAAAAAGAGAGGATATTATTGAAAATGTTCGCCGCTTTAACACTGCCTGAAAAATAAATTTCAAGAAAAAAAGTCCACTGCAGCTACTAAACCAAATCTTCGAGAAGCTTGAACGTCTTTTTCCTTACATTTGAATCATACTCCGGATTTTTAACACTATTCCCGCGTCAATTGCCCATTTTTCAGTAAATTGAAAATTCTAAATAACTCTTTCCGTTCGACCATTGTCCAGGATCGCTTTACATATCTTTAAATCAATTTTGATTGAAGAAATCTTGGCGAAAAAAGTTGAGTTACAAAAATGTCATCAATATTTGGGCATGTAGAAAAATTTGAAAAATTATTCTTTGAGATCCTTAGTCAACTTTTACGAAGTTTTTGTAGGTTGTCTTTTCATTTGAGGAGCACATTTGAAAAACGCGCTTCGAATAAATTGATTTTGAGAAAACAACGAAAAACTGAATTACTCATAATTGCGCATCAAAGGAAATTAACATTTTCTTTGTCTTTTTTTAGCACATAAAAACTTTTAGTTGGTTTAATATTTATATATATGAAATGAATGTGTGTGGCCGTGAACATGAGCATGTATTTTGAAGAAAACCTTTTCAAAAAAGGCATCATTGAAAAAAAAAAAAAACTTATTGTAGGGGATTTTAATATGAATTGTTTCCATTACTCTACCGACATTAAAGTTAAAAATTTTTATGATTCTATTTTTCAAATGGGAGCCCTTCCTTTAAAAATCGCCCTACTAAAGTAACTCCAAAATCAGCTACTCTAATTGATAACATTCTAACAACTGATATTTTTAATAGTGACTTAAATAAAGGTATATTAAAAACAGACATATCTGACCATTTCCCTATCTTTTTTACCATTAACTTCAACTCTAAAATTTTGACTAAAACTAGCATAAAAGTTAAATTACGCAACTATAACCAAAAAAATATTCAGCAATTTAAAACACAATTACCATTGCTCCATTGGAAGAACATCGACTTTAGTGATAACGCAAACAACATCTACGATAATTTTTTTAATACATTTTACTCTGTTTATGATGCCAATTTTCCTTTATATGAAAAAACTATAAATCAAAAAAACATTAATTCTCCCTGGGTTACCAAAGATTTAAAAAAATCATCAAAAGTTAAACAGAAATTATACATAAAATATCTAAAAAACATCATTAGCCAATGAGAAAATATACAAAGACTACAAAAATCTTTTTGAAAAAGTTCGGAAAAACTTAAAAAAGCATACTATTCTAAAACTCTCAATAAAACAAAAAATAATAGTAAACGCTCCTGGGAAATAATAAAAGAAATTACAGGTAAATTAAAGCCATGCTCAGGTTCTCTGTCACACATGATCAAAGTGGATAACAATATTATAAATAATTCTCAAACAATAGCTCATGAGTTTAATAAAATCTTTGTTGAAATTGGCCCTAAACTATCTAAATTAATTCTTAACACTGAAGTCTTATTTAAAGATTTCTTAGTACCGATGGATAATTGCATTCACTCGGATGAGTTATCTAAAAAGTTACTATTTGATGAGTTCGAAAAAGCCTTTAAAACCAAAAAAAAAAAATAAAGCAGTTGGACCGGATGAAATCAATGGTAACATAATTTTAAATTGTTTTGAACAAATAAAACATATTCTTTTTAAAGTCTTTAAATCATCAATTGAGCAAGGAATCTTTCTTGATCAATTGAAAATTGCTAAAGTTATTCCACTATTCAAAGGTGATGACAAATCTGACATTAGTAATTACCGGCCTATCTCTATCTTGTCTATATTTTCAAAAATACTAGAAAGAATCATGTTCAATAGAGTATTTAATTATTTTAGTTTAAATAATTTATCATTCAACAATCAGTTTGGCTTTAAAAAGAATAACTCAACTGAGCATGTAATTATTCAGTTGGTTCGTGAAATTTCCAATTCTTTTGAAAAATCTCAATTCACATTAAGAATTTTTATCGATCTTTCAAAAGCATTTGATACTGTCGATCATAATATTTTGCTTTATAAACTTAATTATTACGGAATTAATGAAAGAGTAATTAATTGGTTTTAAAGTTATTTGTCTAACAGAAAATAATTTGTTTCTTGTAATGAACTTAATCGTAAACAATCGTAATGTTTCCTGTGGTGTTCCGCAAGGTTCCATCATTGGCCCTCTTTTATTTTTAACATATATCAACGACTTGCATAAAGCATCAAATCTTCTAAGTATTATGTTTGCTGATGACACAAACTTATTTCTCTCGAACAGTGACATCTATCTACTATTCTCCGTCATGAACAAAAGAACTTCAAAACATATCTAAATGGTTTAAAAGTAACAAATTACCATTAAATGTAAGCAAAACAAAATGGATTCTTTTCCACCCTCTCTCCAAAAAACATTATCTTCCTCCAAATCTACCAAAAATTTTTATTAATCATATTGAAATAAAAAGAGATTCTGTAGCTAAATACCTGGGGGTTTTCATTGACGAGAACATCACATGGAAACATCATATTAACTATGTCTGCTCGAAAGTTTTAAAAAGTATCGGAATTTTATATAAGGCGCGTACTCATTTAGATAAAAATAATTTAACAAAACTTTATTACTCTTTTATTCATAGTTATATAAGTTATGGAGTTATTGCCTGGGGTAGCACAAATCAAAGCAAGTTATAATGTCTCTATCGCCGTCAGAAACATGCGATCCGTTTAATTAATTCTGCGGATCGGTTCGCACATTCCTCAATATTTTTTAATCAAATGAAAATACTCGATATATATAAACTAAACGTATATAAAAATTTATCTTTTGTTTATATGTGGAAGTATGATTTATCCCCTTTAATTTTTAAAGACCTTTTTATTTTGAAACCATTAAGCAAGTTTAACATGAGAAATAATAATTATTTAAATGAACCACTCTGTCAAACAAAGTTCAATCAATTTTGTATCACTTATTGTGTAGCTCATCTCTGGAACAAAATTATTTTGCCCAACTTTGACTTAACACTAACTTACCCTGTTTTCAAAAATAAATCAAAAGATCTCATTCTCTCTATTGAAAATATCTTATAATATTTTTAATTTATCTTGTAATAAAAAAATAATTTTTATTTTCAAGTTTTGTTTTATACTTGTTTACGATTTATTTTAATTTATCTAAGTACGATCTAATGTTTTTGTGTTATTTTTACGTGCTCATTGTAATAACGTTTTTTTTGTTGTTTTTTTTAATAATATTTTGCGTACTCTCTTTTGTAAAAGGCTTCTGACGATAAGATCATTGTGATCTTCTTTTAGAAGCCTTGTTTGTATTTGAGAAACATGTAATTTATATATATTATGTCAAATGTAAACAAAACAAAAAAAAAAACAAAAAAAAAAAAAAAAAAAACCAACAAGTTTTATTTTTGTGACTTAGCGCGTTTTGCAGATGGGCTCCTTATTTATTGATTTGAAAATAATAAGTTGATTAAAATGTCAGTTTATCATTAGTGAACCGTTTCTTAATCCAGATAATTCATAGTAACGCAGAATTATATCAATTCATAGTAACGAAGAATGTGTTGCCAGAAATTGATAATTGCTGCATTCGCTTAACTTTGACTTTTGAAATAGCTTGGCTTGAAAAGGATCGCCCTCAAAGACCCAGCTTTGAGCAAAAAAGTATATATTATATATACTCTATTACATTTTCATATAAAAAATCTACTTAATTAATGGTAACACTTATTAAGATTGCTAGGAAAAAAAAGCCCTGAAAAATTATTTCCCCTCCGGCATCCCAAACGCGAGGAGCAACAATGTTGAAAAAATATTTTTTGTACTTTTCTCAACTAGACTTATACTCATCAATAATGTTTAAGTTTTATAATATTATCTCTTAGCGTTCAAAAATTTTGACCATATAAAATTTGTGACCCCCTCAAATTGAGGGGGGTTTAAACTTTATATAGTCATAATTTTTGAACGCTGAGAAATAATATTATTAAACTTAAACTTTATTGATGAGTATAAGTCTAGTTAAGAATAGTACAAAAGATATCTTATCAACTTGCTTTCCCTCGGGTTTGAGGTGGTGGGGAAATAAAATTTCAGAGCTTATTTGTTCCCAGCCTCTAATTATCGCATTTTTTTGCAAAGCATCATTATATGACATAAATATAAACATACAAATGTTTGGAGTTTGCTCCATGTAAAGAAGCTGACATGGGGCAAACTCCAAACCAAAAAATGCTGGATCCGTCACTGGTATTCTCGTAACTAGTCATTATAAAATAACAACTAAACTTGAACACATTTAAAATTTATTTTTATAACAATGTAATTTTATTACTTAACGACATATGTACAAATCTGTAAAGATACAAATCGATGATAACGATAAAAACGATACAAATTTAATTTAAAAAAATATTAATTAAAGAACTAATTTGTAATTTAAGAAATAGAAAATTACAAATTAGATGTACTACACACAATAAGACAATTTCTTCGAATATTTTTAATTTTGAAAAAACAACAAAAACTTGGAGAAATTTGTTTTATTCTTGAACAACGTTCCGATAACCGAAACATGATAAAATAATTGTTTGTAACACAAAAAAAATCTCATGTGTGAATATTAAATACAATTTTTAATATCATAAACATACTTGCAGCTATATTCTAAAAAAATTCATGTTTGCACTTCAAATGTATTTCAAAAATCTTAACTGTTAATCTTAAAACAGAAAAGCAAGAAAAAAATTCTTAAAAACCAAGTTTAATAGCATTTTTATTATTCACCTTCTTTAGTCTTTATTCAACAAAAAAAGTTAAAATAGACGAATGAGTTAAATTAATGAATGCTGAGTAAGGATTTAAAGGAAAAAAAATTCATTTTAAATTGATTAAAAAAATAATTACTACTTACATAAGAAATTTGTCGGAGGAAATTTTAGTAAATTATATAATTACTATTAAATCACGATCAATTATCATACGAAAACATCAAAATCAAGAATTAGTAGTTTTGTATCCTCAGTTCCGTTTCGACTGCCGACAGCACAAACTAATTTTTTATCATTACATTTGACTCTCCATACCACACCTCCACTGCCTCCGCTATCCAACTCAACTAAATTGCGAATAAAATCTCCAGTTTTCATGTCCCACAACTTTACTGAGCCATCATCAGAACTCGTCACTACAAACTTTGAGTTAAACTGAAGAGAGGTAACTGCACTTAAGTGTTTATGTGGACCAGAAAGTGTATGCAAGCATTTTCCAGTAATAATATCCCAAATTTTTACAGTAGAATCTGCATTTCCAGATACCAAAAAATGGTCTTTCAACATCATTCCACTTGTAAGAGATTGATGTCCAAGCAGTGTATGCAGAAGTTCACCAGATTCAGCATCCCAAACACGTATAGATGTATCTAATGATCCAGACACAACATAAATGCCATTAAACTGTAACGAATAAACACGATTGGTGTGACCAGAAAGTGTATGAAGACACATTTCTGACTCAACATCCCAAATTTTGACCAAATAATCATATGCTCCACTGACAACTTTTTTTCCATTAAATTGAACGCTAAAAGAGAATAGCTTGAATAAAATTTTCAATTGAGTTTAATGTAATTCATCGATTAATTTAATTAAGTTGGGTTGTAAAAAAATATACCATCTGACAGCAGCTGCATGACCAATAAGTACATGTAGCAATGTTCCTTGAACAAAATTCCACACTCTTAATGTCCCATCCCTAGAGCCGCTTACAACTTGGTTTCCATGCATGGCTAAACAACGAACAGTTGAGGTATGACCCTGCAACACATGTAAACATTCTCCAGAGTCTGCATCCCAAACGCGCAAAGATCTGTCTGTTGATCCACTGATAACAGTGTTGCCAGAAAGTTGAGAAGACCACACTCCGCCTAAAAAAATTACTATTAATTGAATGTATGTACTAAACTTTAACTAATTTTAACTAATGTAACAAAAATAGCAGCAGGTTTTTATAATATATATTAAGGTGGGGTGAAAATTACTTTTTTTGAAAATATCTTCTGTTACACTACTAGGTCTATAAGAAAAGGTTCTACAAGGTCTATAAGAAAATAAAAACACTGGATTTAAATTTTTTTGAATAAAAAACATTTTTAGGGGACCCAATTCATCCTTGAAAATTTAAATTCTCCCTAATCAGAAAAAAATTTACTCAAACTGGTACATTATTATTGTTTTTAAATATTTTTTCCGTTTTTTTTTTTTAATAAATTTTTTAATGACAAGTTTTTATAAAATATAATTACTATTTTTAAAAGTTCTATAAAATTTAGCTTCTTTTGAGTATCAGATTGACAAACTTTTAAAGAAATTTTTTTCAGGTAATAATAAAAAACACGTTAAATACTCAAGAAAAATTTTTTTGTTGAGTATTAACACTTGAAATACTCAACAAAAAATCATAAAAGAAATTAAAATGAAATACAGTAAAAAAGTGTTGTTTTTTATTTGATTAAATTATTTTTTATTTTTACTTTTTTTAATGGACTCTGCCAGGTACCTGCTATTTAATTTAAGAATCACGCATTTTTTAAAAAAAAAGTAATAAATGCTATAAATAAGCAATAAATTTTTATAAAGCTCTCAAAGAGGGCTTTCTAAAATATTAAAATAACAAACTGCCTTTTAATGCAGGCTATTTAATGCATCATATAATAAAGTTATATTTTATAAAAATATTTATTATTATATTGTGCTTAATCAATGGATAGCTGCTTCTTATTAAAATTGCCTACAACGTTTCTTACAAATTTTCAATAATTATAAAAATTTTATTTGTCGAGCCTCATACTAAAAATTAGAAATATTTCAAGCTGTTTTAAAGGTTTATTTTTATGTTTATGTAGATTTTTAAAAATAACTTCCTAATTTTCTTAACTAATTAATTTTCAAGTATACCTTGTAAGTATTTGAAGATAATCTTTTCTTTTTTTTTTGCAACTTTATTATTTAGAGAAAAATTATTTGAACATTAACTTAATATTGAGATCTAACCAAAGTTTTTCATGGCTGCTATAGAAGCAGCCATGCAAAAACTTGGGTTAAGAAACAAAGCCGAACAGTAAAATCATGAGACTCGCCGAATCTTAAACCGGGTATCGAATCCAGGTATTTACCCATGGACTCGCTGAGTCTGATTCCAGGTACTCGTAAGCAAAAAACCCTAGGCTTGAGTATAAAGGTCACATCAATGCAATTCATTGATTTTTGCTATTGTTGAAACACAGGTGGTGAAATACAAAAACTAACTTTATATTTAACTTCAGCCAAGTGGATTTTTAGCAGGATAATATATCAGGATGCAGCTATAATCAGAGTAACTTGTCTATCAATGTTAAAGAAACAGGTAAAATATTTTAACAGATTTACTGAAAACGTTGAAAAGATGTTTTCAGTAAATCTGTTATAAATGTTTGGATTTTCTTTGAAAGCCTATTACCATTTACACATTTACAAGAGAATCTAATAGCTCTTCTTCTCTTGTTATTTATGGCTGTTTATTTGAGTTTTCATCATCATTACTAGCTCTCTACTTAAACTACCATTGGATTCTTTTATTTTTCTTTACATAAAATCAATTGCTAATCGGGCTGTTGCAAGAATTAAGATGTTCTATATAATGTAAAATACTCATATGAAAGTCATAAGATTGGTAAGTAAAGATTTAATATTTGTTTTAATTTAAACACAAAAGAAATATAAGTAAGATATATAAATCTAAAAATTATTAAGATATTTCTGTTCAATATTTTATAACTATCAAATTAAAAACATGAAGTTTGAATATTTTTGCCCGTTTTATACAACTAATATTTAACAAAAATACGGACAAATTATTAAATAATGCAATAATTAACACATTAATTAATGGCTATAATTAAAAATAGATGATGATTTAAATTATCAAAATGTCATAACGCACATTAAAACACATATTATATTTGGTATTTCCCAATTTGTGTCGTATTTGGCATTTGTCTCTTAACATGAAAAATTAAAATTTTTCATAACACAATTAACAAATACAAATTTTCAAGCAATTTTCTTTTCCAATTCTCATTTATTCAAAGAAAAGTTACTATTAAACTTTTATTTCTCTCATCTAAAAAAAGAACAAGTGACGCAAAAAAAAAAAAAAAAATTCTATACAACTCTTATTCATTCGAAGTTTAATTATGCGAAACTTTTCTTTTTCTTTTGTTCTATTGCTTTATAAAAAGAGCTCGTGATGAAATAAGAACTTTTATTTTTAATTTAATTTTATCTCTAAGTATAAAATTATACTTAGGGATAAAATTAAATTAATAATAAATCAACAATAAGCAAAGCAACTAACAGATTAATCTGGGACTATTTTGATATTAATGAAAATAATCAACATAAACAACATTACCAACAATTATCAAATAAACAACACAATATCGCATAATTTTAGAGGCTTTTTATTTTTATTGCTTATAATAATAAGTAAATTTAGTTCAAGTTAATATTTCAATATTTAAAGTTGCAATATAATAAAGAAATGCATTAAACATCAGTTTAATGTTGAACTTTTTATTTAGTTATTTATTTTTTACCTACATTTGTTATAAAAAACTTTAGAACCCTCGTATTTAAAATAATTTGTTTTAAATATATTTTAACGTGATTATTCAAACTAATTTTTTTCGTTTGACTTCTTAAACTTCATGCAAAGCAAATTGAGACAAAATATTGTCAAACCAAATAAAAATGCTGTTACTAATTTTATACGGGTAATTAATGTAAAACAATTTTTTATCAGAGTCTTGATTGAGATAATAAATATTCATAATTTATAAACATTAAATATATGGCGCAATAACAATTTATAGCAATGAACCAGCATAAAATATTTGAGATTTTAAATGTTTTATAAATAATAAAACTTTTTAAATGTTAAGAACAGAAAAAAAAAACTCAACAAATAATCAAAAAAATTTAGAATAAAAATAAATAAAAATATTTCCAGAGTTTCATTTGTTAAAAGTCTACCATGACGTCAAATACTAAAACTTTTATGAATTAAACGCGCTTCAAATAGCCGAAGTCTGTAGATTGCAACGTATAATTCAAAGACTCCGAGTTATTGAATAAAATGGAGGTATGCATTCATTATTTATTTTTAATCAAAAAAACTTGTTCAAACCTCTTTTTTTAACATTATTTTTAGTACGAACACAACATGTGTTGGGAGTTTGGGATCCCTTTAAAAATGCGTGTAGGACATTTTATATGAATTATACAATAATTTTTATTTTATAATTAATAAAATAACTTTATTTACTTATAAAAGGATGTATTTTGCTTATTAATGGAGAAGTTATTAATGAAGTATTTTGTAATGTACATATAATTAATTTTTATAATTAAACTTTTTTTAAATCTTTTAAAACATTTCATTTTTTGAAAAAAACAAATATTTTTCTTTTAATTACCATAGAAATGAATAAGTTTAAATCTTTTATAATAATTTTTAAATTTATTACGTGAAACGTTTATTAATAAGTTACAAGCTGCATGTAATTGCTCAAATTAAAATTAAATTAAATTGCTAGTTTTTCTGTTTTCTATTTTTACAAATAAAAAAGTTTAAATTTTTTTTAACTTGACTTACTAATTATAGCATGAAATTATTAATTACTTTTTTAAAAAGACATTTTTTTAAACAATTTTTTTTTTTTTTTCCAACTTTTTTAAAAATATAAATGTTTATACAATTTAAAAATATTATATAAAACACATTTTAATGAATTTAATAAAATTTGTTCATTTAATAAACAAAACCGTTAGTAGTAATTTGTTACTTGATTTAAAAGCGTTTTGCATAACTTCAATAAAACATTTAAAAAGATAATTTTTAATATTTATTTCAAATGCGATTAAAAACGTAATAAAAAGTTTTGCTTCAAGTTCAAGTTTTTATTTTTTGTTTTAGTGCTTATATACTTTCTTTTTCATAAGGAATTGTTTTTTCTTTATTACTATTATTTCCTAGTTTAAGTTAAGCTTAGTGTTTCTATTTTCAGCACATTTCTAAATTGTTTAAATCATCAAAACATTTAAACAATCGTGGTCAAGTTGTCAAAAAAAAAATCATTTGCGTGGTTAGCAATAGCACTCGATGACACACCATTCCTGTCCAATACATATTCATGTTTATGTCAAATAAAGATAATTTGCGAAAAATTGCAATGATTAGAGCATAAGAACAAACAAATTTTGGCAACCCCTGCCTTAACATGAGAGAAACAAGTTTACAAGGTATTTTTTTAAAATAATATTAACTAAATGTAAATTCATTATACAATTTCAAATTTTATGCAATAACCTCTTAGTGCTTGAAAATTATGACCATATAAAGTTTGAAACTTCCTCAATTTGAGGGGGTATTAAACTTTGGTAGGTCATAAAAGTCAAACACTAAGAGATTATGTCATGAAATTTGTAAATGAATTTAAATTTAGCCATTAAATAGTAAAATGAATATTTTGTAAACTTTTTGCTCTGACATTAGGGAAAAGGGGTTTTTAAGTTTTTATATTCCTAGACTCAAATCATGGCAATTTTTTGCAAAGTATCCTTATTTACATTTTTTTTATTTTTTAATTTAGGTGCCCCAATAAGACCTTATGGTCTTGTCACAGAGCATCGCAAAAGAGTATTTAAATAAGAAACTCATGACTCCTGTTTTACCAATGGTGTTAAATATATCCAGAGCTTGCTTCGAACCTTGGATCTTTTGATTGTAAAGCAAGTGTTCTAACCACTATGCCATGGTCGCAATAAACATGAACATATAAATATTTGTGATCTCTATATCTGGAAGTTGGCTCATACCTCTAAAAAA